CATATGACACTCTTCTGCAACTGTCTGTGATGATGGGTTTCATTGAGAATCCAGCACTCGCACCCCCTTTTTCTGAAGTGGACTTGCGGTAAATTCCAGGGGTATCTATTCCTGTGTGTCGTTCATAACTTCAATACTAAGCGTAACTCCACCTTCACCTTGACCATAAGCCTAATTCCTGGAACTATGGCTGAAACTAGCTCTATTATGGAGTGTACTATTGCTGTGTACTACTTTTATTGCTCCCTGCCCCGTCTAAAACACTAAAACCGGTAACTAAATTTGAGCTCTAAACTATGATTAGTAGCTGCGATTGCGATGATAGGGTTCTGTGGGAAGTAAAGTAAATGGTTCGCACGCAATGCAAATCTCAGTCACATGTCCTTGTTCTAAACGAGTCGTCCAGAAAATTTTATTAAATAACTTCAGAAGACTTTCCACAACCCAAGCCTGCGACAATATGATTCGTCCATCATACCGTGAACTCTACCACCTACTATCACGTTATCATGCCACTTTAATGAATCCCTCTGCCAATGGATGCCTTTTTCTAGTCTTGAGGCATCCCCCTGCCTTTCATATGGCTTTGGCCATCCCTTCTGCTCGTGAAAGGCAATGAAGTGTCTTGACATCATAGATGAAGCCAGTCAAGATTTCTAACGACACGAAGTGCCGTTGGATTGCACATTTCTGTTGCCAAATGGTGTGCAGTTTTTAATTTTGTCTGTGGGTGTGTAGACTGAAATATGCCCCTGATATGCATGTTCACACGTGGATTCTCGAAGACTTCTTGATGCTTTCAAACAAAAATCATCTATATTGAGATTACGTGTTTAATTGAATTGACAAATGTGCGTCTACATTATTTCGTTATGTTGTGTATATGGGAGTGCAAAGAGCCAGACCTAAGAAATCTCTTCGTGCAATTGGAACAAAATGGACAGGAAAATATAGGAAAGTCGATTAAGGACCAATAAACACATTTTCCAAGTCCGTCAGTCAGTTAGCACTATGTTATATTAAAAAGTGGTAACTCAGTTATGAAGGCAAAAGCTCCAGTTTTGTTTTCGCATTCCCGCCGTGAACATAAACGTGACGAGTTTAATAACAATTCATCGTTTATAGCCCCAGCTTGATATGCAAACTTAGTCACCTATTTGAATCTTCTATTCTTATAAACAGTTAAAAAGGGACAGTTTTAAATGAATAGGCTTGAGTTACCCTCTCAGTCAAAGGTTTGTCACTGGGAGCGGGCACGCTGGTCAACTCCTGCTGCAGGAAATGTTTCTCGTGGTAGACAAAGATTTCTTTCGGGAGTTTCTCGCCCGGTTGCCGCAACGGCATGAGGAGACATCCATGGTCATCGTATTCCGTTAGGGTTTCAAGTATAGCGTTTTCCTATAGCAAAAACGTTTTTTGCAGAAATTGAGAGAAATTTATATGACATTGTGCAAGAGATGTGTTTTATGCCACATATAGCCTGGGACTGGATGAACAACAATAATGAGGTAAACTTGTGCCAGGAGGACTGGATCTTGAGTCCATTAGTGAGATGATAAGTACACCCACGATCGCCAATAGTTAAACACCGTTCGAACAGGAATATATTGTCGCAGACCACACGGTAGTTATGCCGAAAGGACTGGC